TACTGTCACTTACCAGCTTTGGGACCATGCCTTTCTGAGTCTCATTTTCCCTTCCTATAAATTTTGGATAGTAATTTCTACCTTGCAAGACTGGCCTGAGGATGAAAGAGCATTTGTATGTAAAGAGTATGATACAATCCCTGCAACACCATACTTGAACAACAAATGTGCCGCTGATATGAATATGATAATGGGTGTTCTTATTTAGAAACCATTACGATGCCTTGGAGAATGCATATTTTAGGATTCAGGTTGAAAATCAGGAGGATTTCAGAGCAAGGGTTTGGCAGCAGAGGATGGTTTTCTGTGCACACACGTGGCCAGAGGGAGGCCACTTTGCAGGAGACACGTCCCCCTAGACAGCTGATTACAGAGAACTACTTGGCTGATTGTTGCATTGAGATCATGAACTGGACAGGGCAGCCCTGAAGCAGACTCTTTCCTCCACTGGACTCTTTTTTCCACATCTGATGAGCATGACTTCATCTGCTTGCATTGCCCAAGGGCCTGGCTGTGTGCTTTCAAACTCTATATGCATGTAACCAAAATAACGTGTATACGTGAATAGAACTCAGTGTCTGTGTGGAGCGTGTGTACAAGTGTACACGTGCCTGTGTATACTTACTTTGTGTGTTGATATGTCTCGGTGTTGGTGAATATTTTGTTTTCCTCTGAGCTTGGACATCACATCTGGTTGCCCTGGCAACTGTATGCTTGAATCTGCCAGCAACTGACCCCTCCTTGAGACACATTTGGTCGCTCACCCTGGTGCTCCCCCTTCCAAATCCTGGCCATTGGTCATTGCAAATTTCTGTAGCAGGAGTTTTTCTTGTTGTGAAAGAACCTCTCCTCCCTCTGGCACTCAGCACCCAAAGTCAAGTTCAGAGGTGGAAGAACGAAAGCTGGAGGAAGGGTCAGACTGATATCCCTGACAATTGTCCCTTCCTCTTTTGTAGGAGGTGACTGTTAGCTCACCTGATTTATTTGGAATTTGTGCACTTTTTTCATAACTAATCTCTCTGGCTACATACCATGGAGGTGGGGGTAAAGACAATAATTAAAGTTATTAGCATAGAAAATTGTTACCTGTTCGGAGTTTCCAGGTATGAAGGGTGAGCATAATAAAAATCTAACATGATTTCATTTATTAAAAGCAACTAATGAGGTGAAATAAAATAATGTTTTAGACATAAGGAATGTTACATTATGAACAGATATGCTCCCTTTTACTGGCTCTGTGGCAAGGAAAGGGCAGTTAAGAATTCTTGGAGCTTTCATCTAGCTCGCTTTGCTAAAGCTGAGAGAATAAAACAAGGCCTTTGTTGAGACACAGTTGCCAATTCATGAGCACATGTCTATGGGAGTGAAAGGTGAGCTCCCCAAGAAAGGAAACTGAAAATGAAGGGAAAGGCCCATGAATAAGTAACCCCTTCATCACAGAAGCACAAGGTCATGCAGAGCCCCACATTATGCACCAGACCTTGCCCCTCCCTATGATTATTAGATGAGAAGTCACAGGCCAGAGGAAGCAAATATTCCTTCAGTACCATCATGGCCATCAGGCCCAGTGATCTTGTCTTCCTTGGTGTGTCTTTGCTCTTCTTTCAGTGCTGGAGAAGACAAAATTAAATATGGAATTAGTTCTACCTTGGCAAGATTTGGGAAGATTTAGAATTTAGGAACTGGGCAGTTCCTTAAGGAAATGTAGCCTTGGGGAGAGCTGTCCAGATCCATCTGTCTATTCAGATAATCTGGGAGTGTCTTCTGGGTCTCTGCCTCCCTGCCCCCAAGCCTTTGGAATTTGCACCCAGCATTTGGAGATGCCTCTCATTGGTGCAGGGGCACAAGAACAAGGGCCACATACTCTCCTTTCAGTTTCTGGAAGTTGAGATCTTGAGAATGAAAACGAAACTCCTCAGGTCGGCCCTATTTGGTGCAAGGCTGGCAGTAGAGCAGCTTCTCCCTGCAAGGCCTAGAAGTCAGAGGGGAATCTTGTGATGCAAAAAGTGGGGCTGGGAAGTACATAAATCTGGGGGGGCCAGGGCCCATGTTGTGATCCTAGGCAGATGGATATTCATTGGAGAATGGTATCCACACTGACTCTGAGGACTGGATGTTGAAAAGCCAAGCTGTGGTCCCTCAAAGAACGACAGCCCCTTAGCCCTTAGGCCTAAGCACAGAGAAACAACTTATCTGAGGTCAGAGTGAGTGTAGGGATGAGAGAAGAAACAGAGTCAACTGACAGTTAAGAGGTCGTTCACTCCATGAGGCCATGGGAGCACTTCTCCATGCAGCATGGACAAATTCTCTCCTATGAGTTTTCTAATAACTCACATTTTACAGGAAATTGTTAGGTTAACAGAAAATTAGAATTGCTTCTCAGCCTGTCCCTCACATTGCCCCCTGGTTGATACGGGAGGACTCTGGACATATACCGGGTAAGGAATGGGGGGCTCCACCCCCATGCATGTCTGTGACCCACTTGGTCAGAGACGTCTCTCTCACCACCGCCCACGCCAATGGGACAGAACTCGGCTCATGACCACAGCATTCCCTGGGAACAAGCAGATAGCATTTCTTCACTGAAGAGAAGAAGAGGGTAGGGAGCAAAGTCAAGTTTTATTATTAAACAACTTTAATCCAAATGCTGATTATTATTTGCAGTGTCTGAAGGCACAAAATATACCTAAAATGTAATGAATAGTCTAAACAGAGTTATAAATCCAAAGAGCAAAGCATGAAAAAAAGATACATTCTGAGCTGACACAGAAATCTGAGTTGGGATTTTTTTTTTTTTTTTTTTTTTTTTTTTTTTTTTTTTTTTTTTTTTTTTTTTTTTTTTTTTTTTTGGAGAACTTACGTGAGTATCAATCATTTCCCCTCATGCCAAGGGTATGAAATTTAAAAAATAACATAAACATGGTGAAGAATAACACCATGAGGCGTTAAGGGTTTTTTTTTTTTTTTTTTTAAATAAGCGAGATACCTTTTCCTCAAAATACTCTCTCTCTCTCTCTCTCACACACACATACACACACACACACACACACACACACACACACACCTGCCATCTCTCTCCTCTCCCTGACACCCATTCTAAGCAAAGCTGTCCAGGAAGACATCCATGGTGTACCCCAGAAGACAGATCATCTCAGGAATAAACAGACTTGGGAGTGAGATAAGGCAGTGAGACCAGAATTTGATTAAAAAAATAGATATATATGAAAAACTGACCATCCAGGGCAGGGCCCCCCAAAGTGCTGATGGAAAGAAAATGAAGCCTGCTCTTCCTCTGGGTAGCCGTCGCCCACCTAGGCTTCACTATGCGCATGCGCCCAGCTCCTGGCTCTCCACGCTCTGATTGGAGAAATGTCAAAGGATTGCCTCGGTAGCGCTAATATCAGGCCATTCTCAGCATCCAGAGATAAATAACATAATTATAAACACTCTCCTCCCCAGGGTGCTTTTAGCTGACTATGTGATGCAGCCGTTCCTTTCTGCTCAATCATGTCAGTCAGGACTTCAGGAAAGAAATCAATCCGGGGCTAGTTATCAGCCTCATAAATATACCTCTGGAGCAACTCTACAAGGCTATAGGAGATGCAGTCAATAGTCTTTGTATTTCTCCATGACCACAGATGAGGTCTCAGCTCCCTGATGACCGCCCAGCCAAAGATGGGGAGGGGAGTCCAGCCCACTTGGTGCCCAATGTGGGCTGTGTGCACCATCTTGCTGGGTTAAGAGAGCAGAATCACCTTTGTCTTCAGCAGAAGAGCTGAAGTGATACTGCTCTGCTCCTACTGGTTCTTTGTCTGGTTCTATAGTTTGTCCCACGAAAGACAAGGGAGGGAGGCATGGCTACCTAGCTGTCTTAGCCTTAAGGAACAGAGCTACCTTAGCTCAGGGACAGTCCTGGGAATCTCAGAGGCTATATGATGCTCTCAGCCAGAGGTGCCCCTACCTATTGGCTGGATCCCTGCTTGAAGGCCTCTGGTCTGGAGAAGTGGGCAAAGGAGGGAGTAAGGACTCACACTGTGTTCTGGCCCCATTTGGCATACTGCGTGCAGGGTTTCGGACCCGGAAATATCCTTTTACTTCTGGACTAGTTCCCTGGGTGATGAAGAGTTACTTGTGTTCACATCATACCAAGGTCTGCTGCTACTTCTCTAGGAGCCAAGGCCCCTTCCTATCTGAACAAACACGGTCCCTTTGACTTATTCTCAGCACTGCCCACCACCTAGAGCACTGGCGTGCTCACCTGGGTCACCTCCCTCTACTCCTCCAAGAGAATCCTTTGACCTGAAACCACAGGTCACAAACCCCAGGGGCTATTCTCCCTCTGCCTGGCTCCCCACCTCACCTGGTCCACACACTACACCTAGCATTTCTCTATCTCCATGGACAAGCCCAAGCCCACCACTGCCAAGCCTTGCAAGACCTACCCACCTTCTCCCACGTTCTATCACTTGTTGATTCTTCTAATTAGGAAAAGAAAGTAGAAAAACAAGGCCAAAAGTATGACCCTAGAGCATGTCAGCATCAAAGCCCTCAGAGATGGTCGCCTCACTGTGGGTGCTTCTCTTGGGCCCACGGCACACTGTGTCACACGGTGGGTGACCAGGAGGCCTGCCCCAGGTGCGAGGAGTCTCTAAGTCCTGGGCTGACAGGAAGAGCTGATCACCCTATAGCCCTGTGGCCTGGGGTCAGGCCAATGCTGGCTCACTGTTTATCTGCCCGAGAGGATTAAAGAGGAACCAAGGGCCAGGAGCAGAGGAACGTGGCAGGAAACCATGGGACATGGCAACAAGCAGCATTTGGGGCTCCTCTAAAGGGACTGGCTGCTTATCTTCCCCTCTCCCCTGGCAGGAAGGGGCTCCTTATCCGATCACCCCTCCTGCCTTCAGAAAGGCCCAGGAACAGGGGGCTTCTTTGGCACTTCAGAATGATCACAAGTAATTTGCCTTTTTATTCATATAGAACAAAATTTACAAAGTCATTCATACAGTTTTTGTGTTTTTTTTTTTACTGACTTCGAAAATTGGGAATATTCAAAATACACTTTTACCCCACTCCATTCTGTCATTATTTACACATATGTACAAGAAAAATGAAAGAGTCTTTGTGTGTGTGTGTGCGCATGTGTGTGTGGTTTGTGTTGTCGTTGTCTTGTATTAAAAAGCTCTGCTGGTCGGGTGGGTGGACGGCGGGCGGGGGGGCGGGCGGTGCGGTCAGATGGAGGTGCCGTGGGAGGTGTCCAAGGCCTCAGGAAGGACGCCTCCCGGCACAGGCTGGAAGGACATGGGGATGGGGGTCTTCACCGGGCTCTGGCGGAATAGCCCCCCGTTGGGCGACCTGTGTTTGCACTGCATGGAGGGCATGGTGGCCGAGCTGCTCAGGGGCAGCGGCAGGTTGCTGCTAGGCCCTGACGAGAGTGTCCGGCTGGGGCCGTGGCTGCTTTGCTCTGGCAGAAAAGTGCTGACCGAGAGCTGTGTGTTCTGGTACTCTCGCGTCGGCTCCAAGGCCTGGCTGGGAGCCAGGCCCCCCATCTCCAGGGCCGAAAGCTCAATGGACGCTGGGGAAATCTGTTTGTGAGCAATGTCTTCGTCCATTAGACTGTTCATGCGCCGGTGAACCTGCTCCAGATTCACTTCTTTGTCCTGGAGGGAAAGCACAGGAAGGTCAGGCCAAGCCCTAACATGAGCCAAGGCTGGCTTTCTGCAAATTCTGGGAGGCCTGGAGACCCTAGGCATGTGAAGCCTGGTGGACGCTGGGTGAGCACCGCCCCCCATTCCTCCCATACCCCCTCCCCTACATCTGGGTGGACCTCAGTTATCCGGGGAACTGGTGGCCTCGGACACTGCCCCCGGGGTAGCAAAAACCCAGCAAGCAGGCCTTGGCAACCTGTGCCTCCTCTTGTCACTTGGCTTAGAACCACCGTCACACTCAGAGGCAACCCCTGTGAGAAGATGCCTTGAAGAACTGGCAGAGAGAGAAGGAGGAGAAAGTGTTCCCATGGGGATACAAGGACCTGGTTCTTGAGCCCCCAGGGTGTCCCATGTTTTAACCATAGAGTTCACAATGCTCAAAAGGCCTGATATGATCATCCCATTGGATACAAAAGAGGCTTGGGTTCAGGAAGCCCAGTGACCTCCCTGGAGTCACCACCCTTGTGAATGGCTGAGGCAGCAAGGGAAGGCTGAAGCAGGAAACGGGGGCCTGGCTTACCCTAAAAACCCTGTTCTCCCATCTCCAGAGATGCCAGCAAGCAGGCATGTCCTTGTCTCTAGGGCCCATGAGGCTGGTTCCTGGATGAGGACGATGGTGGGGATGGTGAGGAATGGGCCTTTGCAGGGCTTACATGACTTTCCTGGTATCAAGACGGTAGAGACAGACAAGATGGATGACCCTCACCCTTGACTCTTTCTCCATAAGGTAAATGGTGGCAAGGAAATGGTTTTGTTTATTTGTGTGCTTAAGAGAATAAAATAAGTTTTCAAATAACTTGATGTTTTGTCTACTATATCAAAGTAAATCAAGGAGGCTAGACTGCTTGAAAGCTCTTAAAAGACAAAGATGAGGTACTTTATTTGCTCGGTTCCCCCCAGTGAGGGGGGGCACAAGACCAGGTGTCCACAAAGGAGCCATGCCAGCTCCTCAATGAGGTTCAAAGTTCCACACCTATTTTCAGGCAGCATGAGGGCCACTGTGCAAGCCCAGGTCATGCCTACCACCCATACTTCCCTGATGTCAAACTGCTTCCCTGATGTCAAATAGCAGAGCTCTGAGACAGAACACCACAGGATGTCTAATGGTGACATCTGTTTGGTAGAGAGAGAAACCTGTCCCATGCCCATCTTGTAGGGAGGTTAGAAATACCACAGATGTCGGGGTGCTTGGGTGGCTCAGTCAGTTAAGTGTCTGACTTGGCTCAGGTCATGATTTCATAGTTTGTGGGTTTGAGCCCTGCATCAGGCTCTGTGTTGACAGCTCAGAGCCTGGAGCCTGCTTCAGTTTCTGTGTCTCCTTCTGTCTTTGCCTCTCCACTTCTCATGCTTTCTCTCTCTCTCTCAAAAATAAATAAACATTAAAAAAATTAAAAAAAAGAAATACCACAGATGTAAAGGCCCTGAATGGGCTCTGAAAAGGAAAAAGAAGAAACCACACAAATCCAAGGGGCCATTCCAGTGGCTAGCTCCCAGGAGGCTAGTGGGAGAGGATCTTCCCCAGGAAGAGGCCACCTGAGTAGCTGGTGCCCCTCTCCCATGGGTGGCCAACTCCCATGAAGTCTCAACCCAGCCTTCCTCAGGCAGGGAAGTTGCTTTTGCGGTTTACTCCTTGTTCTCAACGCTCCCTGGTGTAGAGAAGGCAAGGCCACTGCTCTCTTCACACCTTTGCTGAGTTCAAGACTGGTAGTCAGACATTGGCTTCTGTCTTTTCCAGAACCTTTCACAGAAAAAGAAAACTAACAACCTCCACAAAACAATAAGAAACTCATTCCTGGCCAAGAGGAGACCTGAGAATAAAAAAGCCACTGATTTGAGGATGGAAGATACTACGGGGGGTGACTTCATTCAAAGATGGAAATGACATCAGAATTCACTGGCACAGCTCCATAGGCAGAGCTAATATTCCAGGGATCTGAAGCCCCACACAGCTGAGCTCAGCTCACTGATGCCGGGAAACCAGCTCCGAGTTGAGGACACCACCAGGGTGGCAAGTGTCCTGGGTAAAATTGGAGAAAATGGAGAGTAACAGGCCTTTACTTAACCTGATGAAGTGTGACTCATGCAAATGTCTTTCCATAACTCTTAAGGCTGTAAAAAAATACAAGACACTGATTTCAAGTTCTCTTAATTACAAACATGTTGAGCCAGCTCTGTACAACTTTGCCTTTTTGTCTGTTTTATCTGCTTTGTTGTTAGTCTTGCATATGAAGCCACTTTTAAAAGTCTTTTAAACTGCTATAGTAGTCGCTGGCTGTCTTACGGGCACCAAACATCAATTCTTTCCTAAGACCGTGGTCTGTTTGCTTTGAGAGAATTACTTCTTTTCTCACCGGATAAAAGTTTGGCAGGTGCCCTGCCCATCTGTAGCTAAGATGCAGGACCATGACATAAGCAAAGACAATAGGACTGAACTGAATCCTGAACAAAGAGATAAAGAGACAGCAAAGAGTTGACTGTCCATCCAATAATGCAGTAGTACTTCAACAAACCTTCTGCTCCGTGACTATCCTCCTATATCTTGCTCTCCCCTTGTTCTGTGGACAAGCCTGACTTCTGCCCACCACCCATCTTGCTTCTCCAGCCTTATGGTTGCTGTGTGCCCCGGATAAATTCTTTCATCTGCAGTGGCCAAAGTCAGTGCCTCAGCTGTGTTGGTAAATATCTTCATCTATAGGCTATTTTCATTTCAAATTATGGCAAGGGCAGAAGACAAGTATCAGAGATCCTGGAAGATGGAGAAGTTGAGAAAGAATTTCAGAAACTTTTAGGGTTTCATAATATAACCTCTTCTCTTTGTAGACAGCAAAGCTTGGAGAAGGCTTGATAGCCAGCTGCCCCTGCTGGCAAAGTCTTCAGTTTCCATTGAAGGAAAACCAATCACCAATGGACCTGGGATCATTGGAAGAACTGGCTAGTTCCATAATCTCACCTTTCCCTCCTTTAGATTTTCTTTCCAGGGTTCTAAGAAGCCTTTTGGGGACAGAATGGAGTCACATTTAAGAGTGGACTAATTTGGAGGGGAAGGCAAGTGTCTTGGTCCCTACCTTGTTCACCGTGGTAGTTAGAAGAAAGGGCATGACCCTTTTTCTCAGAAAGTGTTCAGGAGATGCTCCCCATCTTGCTGGGGTCTAGCAATAGAAAAAGGAGAACTTCCTGTCCAAGAAGGCCACAGGAAGGCAGAGAGTTGAGAGTGGGGAAGAGTGAAATGAGCTCTCTATATTGAATGCCAGGGCCACAAAACAGAAGGAGAACTTTTGGGGAAGACCAACCATCCAAAATCCTCTGAAGAAAAATGTGAGGAAAGGAAGTCTCTGAGATGAAATCCTTCCCTCGGGAAGTAAGAGGCTCAGGGGGTGGAATTATCAAAGTGGTTGGGAACAGGCACCCATCTCGCATAATAATCACAGCTTCGAGACCTTGATCTGGTACTACCAAAACATCTAGAATAAAAACCAGCGCACAGTGTAGGTGTGGATACAGCCCAATTACCCAAGAATCAGTACTTTGGGAGGAAAGAGCTTGAATAGCTGTCTAAATCCATATATTTTTCTTCTTGCCTCAAGTTCAGGACAAATGAAGCAGTTCCAAGGACTGTAGAGCTGTGCAGTGGGTATCCGCTTCCAACTGAGGTTAGTCATTAGCCTATAACCTCTCCACGTCAAGACACAGAGAAAATGTCCACACCAACTGAACAGACTTTCCAGGGAGACCTTCCCACCCCAAATGGCAGTGAAGTAATTAATCCTCTCTGCACCAGTGGGACCTCATTCTATTCAAATTCTATTACTGCTGGTAGCTAGCTCCAACACAGCACAAATCCCAGAAGAACAAGGTGGCATCACGAGCTGCCCATATCTGATTGTTTAACTGGATGGGAAAAATGAGAAAGACTTACAAAAATGCCTCACACCACCCCCCCCCCCCCCCCCCCGCCAACACATGTACTCTGTTTGAGCCTCCGAATCCATTTCTAAGCTGCCTGCTTCTGCCGCCGTCTAGAGGTCAGAACTGAAGTGCAGAAAACTGGAGAAAAGCACTTTGTGCGGTAAAGCCTTGAAGCGTAATCTTGGATCACCTGGGGGGCATAGAGTCAGCACACATGAAGTCATTTCCAGCCATCCCTGGCCAAGGAACAAGGAGGCAGAAATAATCCGCCTGCTCAAGGAAAGAGGCAGGAGTGATTTGAATAATTATCTATATTTTAGACAAAATGGGACATTCTATTATGTTATGCAAATTCAAATAATGGACTTTTTTATGTGAACTACATCAGTTTACATCCTCATTATCTCAAGTTTTTGGTGTTCAACCACACGGAAACTTGCTGCTGTCTTCATTAATTTACTGTAGGTAACTGACCTAGTCAAACATCCCTGAATATGACATAAAACCCATGGACTGTATTTATCCACGTATCCAGCTGACTTCCAGCTCTGCGTTTCTCACCTCATATTAAACATGATGACAGATGCACCAACAGAGGTTACTGGGAACCTTCTCCCAGGCATTGTCTTGCAGAGAGATAAAGTTCTGTAATTAAGCCGCTGTTCACAAACGTGGAAATAATTCAGTGTACTGGAAAACGGTAATTAACTAAACTATCATCTATGTAACAGCCAGTTACACATGGGACTCGTTAGAACAGGCTTTGTTTGGTGTCCAATGGCTTTTACTTTAAGTTGGGCAGGAACAAAATGGGACAGGGGACTTCACACCTGACTGGGATGGTTGTAGAGATATTCTCCCATTACCACTGACACCAACTGGGTTGTAAATGAGACCCAATGGCTGGGGAAAGAAAATGCCATCAATATGATCTTCTTAAGTGTTGCTCCGAAGACTTGCCCAGCTCTAAAGGACTGGTCTGGAGGCCTGAAAGTAGTGGCTGGGTAAGAGCAAAGAAGTTGAGCAGTTAATGAAGTGGTCTCAAG